ATCCCTTTCTGCTGAAGAAGACAATGCTTCATTGAATGTGAAGCTCCTGACAAATGAAGAAGGTAAAGATAAAGATCACTTAGCAGTAATTCTTAAAAATTAGATCTCTCTGACAATTCTATTTCACGTTTGGCATTTTACAGTTTAATGGAGAAATAATTAATCATTGGGGGTGGTCAAAGATTAAGCAATTTCCTTCACCCCGCACAAGGTATTGATAAATTTTGCTTATATGGGGTGATGATAGTTTACATGATAATTAGATATTAGTTTATTACATTTTTATTCTTCCTGATAAAGATTGGTATTATCAGTTAACTTTTGGTAAAACAGTATTAGGGTGATTGATCTTTGGAATGGATTGCCTTCAGATGTAGTAGATTTAATGGATGGGTTTGTAGATATTTGAATGATAAGGGCTAGAGATGTGGAATTTAATCAAACACTATAATTGATTAATCAAAATTAGTGTTTCCAGTTATTAATATCATTGAACATTCCAGTAACTTATTAACTGAAGATATGATTAAGTGGATTGTCACAAAATGAATCAACTAATCAAAAACAGGGTTTTCAGTTATTTCACCTCTCCAAGTAATCAAAATAATGCCATCAAACTTGCTTACTCTGTCTTTTTTTCTGGCAAAGCTACTAAGATTATCTTCCACCATCACCAATTTTTAAATGCTGACTAGAGGTAGGGCAACTGTTGTTTTGTTTTTTGTTATCTGATGATAAGAAATATGACAAACGTACTGACAACACCTCCTGCTGACAGTTTTGTTATTGTAGTTGTTCTTGCTGACCAGAGAGAAGGCAACTGGTCATCAGCATGCACTGCCAACTTTTTTTTTATGTACCATTGTAAAAAGAACACTCCACTAATCAGTTAGTTGAATGTAATTGATTTATAGGACTATCATTTAAACAAATATCTCTTATTGCCCAGTTATAATAGCTGGCCTTTAGTATTTTAGTTTAGTGGATGGGACAGCCTAGATGGAACAACAGGTCTTTTGTTGCCATTGAATTATATCTTATGTTAATTATAATTTATTTGGTTTATAAGTGTGACATTTCTCTTCCTTATCATATGTGTTTTTAATCTAACGACCTTCCACGTTTATCCCTTTAACCAGCTATTATTTATTTCATACATTGTCTTGCTTGACTTTTAATCTAGAGATGTAAACAACCAAAATTTTATTTATATGCATAACATTTAAGAAACAACAAAAGGCTTGTTGGGTCCACCAATGTTGTTTCACAAAAAACTTCGATGTTTAAATCTTTATCAAGCCTTCCCTTAAATTTACTGTATTCACCACATCAAAAGGCCAACTGCCGAAGGTGAAGATGGCTCCTACATTGTCAAAATATATACTTGCGACTCATATTTATACCATTCTCAAAAACTGGACTATTAACTTAATTAATCAATAACCTATGACCATCAGTTAGTGTCAAGTGAAGTAACTGATTAGTTGAAATTATGATTAAATCAATTTCTTTGATTATTCCCACTATCCAAGTAATCAGAATATTGCCACTATTATTTCTCATTATCGTTTTTGATTGACTCAAGGTTTAGCTTAATGACTATTTTTATTTAATCAAATTATCCAAGTCTTGTGAGAATAATCAATTAGTTGAATATAATTGATCGATAAACCCCTGCAATTAATCGATTAGCAAAGTGTAGTAATTCCCAGCTATAATTTTCACCATTAAATATTAAAAAAGATTATGTATTAATACTGTCAATTTTCTAAAAATCTTAACACTAACCAGATCCCTCTAACTCTTCTTTTTTCAAGAGAAAAGAAACCTTAACCTGTCCTTTTATAGAAACCTATTCAACTAGGGTATCTTATTCTTAGTAGTTTCCTCTGAACCTTTTCCAAAAATTCAATGTCCTAAGGTAAGAGGGCCAAGAATGAACATAATAGTCAAAATGAGGCCTAATCAATAACCTATACAATGAAAAATGATAACCTGTCTAGTCTTATATTGATCATTTCAACAAATACAACCAAATTCATATTTGCCCTACCGTTAGCAACAGCAAACTGTTTGGATGAGTTAAGAGGCTGTTGAAACAAAACACCAACATTTGATACTAAGCACACTGAGCAAAATTTAAATGTTCATTCCATACATAATGGCCATAACTGTAGTTTAACCATAGACTATATGATTTCCCCCCAAAAAAATATGTAGAAAGCTTGTAAATGATAAATACTCATTTGTTCTCTAGAGTATATATTAGAGCTAGTGGTATTTAAGCTGTGGTTTATACCTAGAAATGATATGTTCTGCATGGGATTTAACATCTTCTAGTCAGCATGCCAAAATTCCTATTTTTATAGTTGACAATTTAATCAGTTTTTTAATATAAAACGTATTGGCTTCAGTGTATACTCTATAGATATCTAAATATGTTCTGAAGTTTGTTTCTTTAAGCTAGGAAGTATTCCTGCTTCTGGTAAATCTCTCCATCCTGATTTCTCCTACGCTTATAAGTTTAGATATCTTTTACTTGAACCAGCTTCAGTTTGATAATTAACGATATAGAAATGAATCAGTACTTGCAGCAGTGAAGAGTATCTGTAAATGCTACTCTTAACACATTTACTGTTTAATCCTCTGCACATGGGATCATTTTTTGACAAACTATGCAACCAGCAGGTAACCTTGAAAGTATACATTCTATAACTTTTAAGTTGATAAGTATATCTTCACCAAATTTGGAAGACCTTTTGTAAACATTACAAGCGTTTGGTACACAAAACAAGCAGATTTCTTAATTAAGTATTTCTACCAAAAATTTGTCTTTCAATTTACTGAGTCATCCTGACTCGTGATTTTCATGTTGAGATAAAAAAATACCAAGAACTTTTTTTTTCATCTTACAGTTTTCAAAATTCATTTGATGATTTTTAGAGCCTCCTAAATGAATATTAGTTATATTGAATCTGTTATTTTCTATACCTCAATATTAAGCTGACTTTTTACCACCACAAAGAAAAGAAATAAATCTAAATTACCCTATTTTTCTTTCTAGTATGACTGCAGATTGTAACAGAAAAACTAATTCTTCATCTTAAGCAACCTCAGGCTCTGTTTACAGATGTTTCATTTTATTGTTTTAATGCTCTTTGACCCATTTCTAAATACTAATCCTGCATAACAAGCTATAAGCTACCCAGTGGACACAGTGTAAGTTATAATATTGAATTGGATAATTTTTCTTACATAAACAAATTAGTTTCAAATTTTAATTACTTTTATAATAATAAAGTATACATTAAAAACATTAAATTTACTAATTACCTGTTAGTCTTGTACTTTTCTGCAGTGAAAATCTCAATAAATGTTAAGTCTAATTTTTGCTAAGTTTATTGTTAATACTTTACTTTCAAATATTCAGTTGAGAACACAGTGTCTTCTAACTGTAATTTAATTTAACTGGCTTTGTAAGTATGTTAAAATAATTCCTCTTATGTTGTCTAGGTGAACCTCGGGATAGCAACTTTTAAACTGTAAGAATTCCTCTTATGTTGTCTAGGTGAACTCGGGAATAGCAACTTTTAAACTGTAAGAATTCCTCTTATGTTGTCTAGGTGAACTTCGGGATAGCAACTTTTAAACTGTAAGAATTCCTCTTACGTTGTCTAGGTGAACTCTGGAATAGCAACTTTTAAACTGTAAGAATTCCTCTTACATTGTCTAGGTGAACTCTGGAATAGCAACTTTTAAACTGTAAGAATTCCTCTTATGTTGTCTAGGTGAACTTCGGGAATAGCAACTTTTAAACTGTAAGAATTCCTCTTACATTGTTTAGGTGAACTCTGGAATAGCAACTTTTAAACTGTAAAAATTCCTCTTACGTTGTGTAGGTGAACTCTGGAATAGCAACTTTTAAACTGTAAGAATTCCTCTTACGTTGTCTAGGTGAACTCTGGAATAGCAACTTTTAAACTGTAAGAATTCCTCTTACATTGTCTAGGTGAACTCGGGGATAGCAACTTTTAAATAAGAATTCCTCTTATGTTGTCTAGGTGAACTTGGGGATAGCAACTTTTAAACTGTAAGAATTCCTCTTACATTGTCTAGGTGAACTCGGGGATAACAACTTTTAAACTGTAAGAATTCCTCTTACATTGTCTAGGTGAACTCGGGGATAGCAGTTTTTAAACTGTAAGCAGAATAATTCGAAATCTGTCATCAGACAAGTTAATATATTAATATACAAACTTACAGTATAGATATTGATAAGACATAATCTAATTTTATAGCCACTTGTCGTCTTGATTTATTGAAATATAAACCAGAAAGTCAAACCCACATTCCATGCCCTCCTATTACATACTGTCAAAAAAATGTCAATTCTTTCTTCTGTTTACTACATTATTTACAACCAACAGAAAGAACAAAATTTAATTTATTGAAGCTCAAACAGAGGAAAGAATGTTTAAATGAACAATTTGGAGCAAATCATTTTCACTTGAAGACTGAGTATTTAAATATATCTTTGTGAAATAAAAATAAAACTTGTATTAAAATATGGTTTATTAATTGTGCTTTGATGCTATATTTATTGAGATACATTGATAATAAAGTAGCTTACTTAAATTTTGAATGTAATTCTGTAAAAAATATGACACATTCTCATATCCAGGGGATTAAAAGTATACTGTTTATGTAGCAGGTTATTTGTAAACTTCTAAGTTTATATCTCCAGTTTGGATAAGCAAACTACACTTAACCCTTTCACTGCGACTTGGACGTATATTTCCCAGTGCAGTGGGAAATATACGTCCCTGTCGCAGTGAATGGGTTAAAGGAAGAATTAGTCATTTTCCAACTGTAGCATAAAGATTAAGTAAAACAAGAAAATTGAGCTACTTTAGAGAAAATGTCAGTACACAGCAAAGACTTATAGTGATGCACAAGTCATATTCATATTTGTTACAAGCATATTTAATCTGTATCTATAGCAACAGAAGAAGCCGCTTCTTCAAAGGAATCATCTACACTTTTCATCGCTGATTTTAAAGTTGCAGAAGAAAAACAAGAAGAGAATTATGATAAAGTACCAAAAGCTGAGGTAACTTGTAAGAAATAATTTTTACTGTAATGAAATAGCTAGAAACTTTTGATAAAACATTCAAACGGTGTTGCTATTGATTTTTTTACTTTTCTCTTATATATCTGTTTTCATTTAAAAGATTTGGTATATCCATTTTAATCTATTGAAGTCTGTCAGGTTTTGTTTTCTTGAACTATTTTCAGGAAGTGTATAGACAACCATTTATTTCATGGGGTCAAGTATGTTTTTGAGCTACTGTCACTACAGGACTTCATAAGTACAATATATTACTCCTCTGTTATCTTGATCATACAAAAATGTGGCTTAATTTGTCATTAAAAATCAGTTAATGTTAATTAAGTAGCATTTAATGGAGGATTGAGAATTCATATAGTTTTTGACATCAACATCTGTTGTTTGTAATCAGTCTCTCAAATTCTTTTAATTTCAGAACCCATTTGTCAGAGTGAAAACAGAACAGGATGATATTATTTCGATGTTCAGTAGAAACGATGATGAAGTCGTTCATTGTACACATCATGGTGTTATGAATTTGAAAAAAGAAAAGGAACCAGAAGAAGAATTACAGCAAATTAACTGTGGGTTAGAAGTTTTATCAGGTGAATATAAACATTTCAATATTATATTCATTAAACATGTGGTGTTGGAAAAACTTGTTCTGAATTGAGTTAGATATTGCTAATCTTGTACCATTGTTACAGAATAAACTTAATAAAACATTAATTACTGCATGGTGTATTTAGATTATCTTAGGTTTGTTTTGTTATGCTGCTAGTAGAAAGCCCTGTTGTTAGCTGTCTGGATCTTCAGAACCTGATCAGTCAAGTTACATATGGTCATATTGTTAAGAAGTTACACATTTATGTCCTAATGTCGCTAATTTGAGAAACAAGTTGTGAGAATAATCTATAGACTTGTGATACTATGTTTTTCAGGAGAATAATCTATAGACTTGTGATACTATGTTTTTCAGGAGAATAATCTATAGACTTGTGATACCTTTGATACTATGTTTTTCAGGAGAATAAT